CCTACAGGCATGCCTATATGTATATACCTATATTTAAGACTTTATCAGATATATATAATCTGTTTAAGATACTCACACAAAAAGTTACATATTGATCAGCTAATGAAAATGTGACCAGAGGCCCACAGGAACATAAACCAGTACTACCACTAGGACCAATGGCTCAATATTTGTTAATTCAGCATTTGTGACCTTACAGATATCTATTGAAACATAATAAAATGTAACTGTATATAGAGATAACATTTATTTGTGCATAATGCATATTTTATTGTGTTACTTTGCCAAAGTTGTTTGTTACTAGTAGATTATATGTGTAGTGGTGGGAGACACATATTCCTTATCATTTAATATACATACAGGATTATATTTTCTGTAATTAAAATAATTTTACTTCTTTCTTTTAAATATTGATGTATTTTATTTCTCATTTTTTTCTTGCTTGATTGCTTGACGAGAACATCCAGGGCAGTGTTGAATTGAGTAGCAAGAGTGAATATCCTTGCTTGTTTATAATATTAGAAAGAAAGCATTCTTTTAACTTTAAATATGATGTTAGCTGTAGGTTTTTCATATATATCCTTTATAAGGCAAAGAAAGTTTCCTTCTGCTACTACTTTGTTGAGAGCTTTTGTCATAAAAGAGTTTTGAGCTTTATCAAATGGCTTTCTCCATTTATTGAGATGATTACAGTTTTTGTATTTATGTGACATATTACATTATTGATTTTCAGATGTCAGTCTACCTTGCATTATTTAATAAATCTCATTTTGATTATGGTGTATAATCATTTTTATATGCTACTGGATTCTATTTATTAATATCTTTTGAGAATGTTTTCACATGCATTAATAGGGGATATTGGTCTAAGGTTTTCTCTTCTTAGACTGTCTTTGTTTGACTTTGTTATTATGGTAATACTGGCTTCATAGAATGAGTTGGGAAGTATTCTTTTCTCCTCTGTTTACTGAAATAATTTATGGAAGATTGGTAATATTTATTCCTTAAATGCTTGATAGAATTCACCAATGAAGCCATGTAGTCTCAACTTTTCTTTACTTTTTTCTTTTTTTTTTTTGAGACGGAGTTTCACTCTGTTGCCCGGGCTGGAGCGCAGTGACATGATCTGGGTTCACTGCAACCTCTGCCTCCTGGGTTCATGCCATTCTCCTGCCTCAGCCTCTCGGTAGCTGGGACTACAGGCATCTACCACCAGGCCTGACTATTTTTGTTGTATTTTTAGTAGAGACGGGGTTTCACTGTATTAGCCAGGATGGTCTCAATCTCCTGACCTCCTGATCTGCCCGCTTCGGCCTCCCAAGGTGCTGGGATTACAGGCATGAACCACCGCACCGGGCCTCAGCTTTTCTTTATCAGAAATTTTTAAATTTCTTCCCTTGTTATAGTTCTTTTCATATTTTCTATTTGTTTTTGAATTAGTTTTGGGCTATCTCATCTAAATTATCTAATTTAATAACATAATACTCTTTAACATATTCTCTTACAATATTTTTAAAGTTTCTGTAGGGTAGGCAGTTATATCCCTTATTTCAACCCTGATTTTAATAATCTTGGCCTTCTCTTTTGTTTTTTTGAGGACGGAGTTTCACTCTGTTGCCCGGGCTGGAGGCGCAGTGACATGATTCTGGGTTCAGCTGCAACCTTCGGCTCCTGGGTTTCATGCGCGCATTCTCCTTGCCTCAGCCTCATCGGATAGCTGGGACTACAGGCACTCGACCCAACAGGGCCTGACTATTTTTTGTTGATTTATGTAGAGACGGGTGGTTTCACTGTATTTAATGCCAGGATGGTCCTCAATCTCCTGCCTGATCTC